GGGGCCTGGAGTTGCCCTGCTCCAGGCTCCTCAGCTCTGCTCTCAAAATTATCCCAAGTTTTCTGAGTTGGCCCTGGGATCGCGCCATAAAGCGAATGGCACAGGGGCCAGGGGGGACCCTCTTGATTCTAGGTCTTCTCTGCACCGCCAGGCGCAGGCTGACCGCCAGGCCCTGGGTCTCTAGAAATCCCCTCATCCTCAAGCAACTTCATGCTTGCCAGAAAAGAGTTAAAGACCTGCACCCACTGACCAATAGTAGTGCTCAGCGCCTGCGCGGCGCTTTCTGATTGGCTGGCGGCATGAGTGGGCGGAAGGAACTGGGTCCCCGCCTCCGGGAGTGTGATTAAAAGGCGGCTAGCTGGGGCAGCGACTGTCAGTGCTTGGTACTCTAATTCAGCTATGAGCGCTACCAGCCTGGACCTGGCGGAGGCGCCCGAGGAGCGGCGATTCCTCAGGTGAGCTGTGGGGTGATTGGTGGGATGGGGACTGGGGTTGTCAGGCCCATGGCATGTGCCTGTGGGGAGAGCAGGTCCTCAGCCCCTCCAAAGCTGCGTTTCCAGGAAACTGTTTCTAAGACAGACCCATCCCCTCATGAATAATAGCATCTGGCAAAAAAAACGACTCCAGCCCCTTCCCAGGGGCCCTGGAGCCCAGACCGGTTCCTGCTGCATCCCCCTAGTCATTGCATCGAGAGTGACCTAGTAGTTCCTTGTCCAACTGCCTCCACCCAGTGTCCCCTCAGCCCTCCTCCGGATGACTGGCGGGATGTCCAGATTCAGGCTAGCGATCCTGGCTTGTCCTAGGCAGGGAGAGAAGGTTCTAGGAGCTGTGACTGCCTGGTGGGCTGGGCTGTTGTGTGAGGCTTCAAATGCCAACAGGGCTGGAAGAAGGCCAAGGGTGTGAAGGTGCTGGAACGTGGTGGGGGAGGTGGCGGTGGCAATGAAGGAGACTAAAGAGTGCTGGTAGGTCAGGTGAGGAGCTAGATTTCTGTTCTCTGAACAGCAGGGGGCTGTAGATGGGTGGGCTGGGGCGTGATGGATTCTGGCGCTCAAAGCCCCTTGCAGCTTAGGTTCAGGTGTTTGGCACTTGGAAACCTGGAGGCAGCAGAGTGTCAGGCTCTCCTCCTTCCAGAACCAGGGTCACTTGGCCCTTCTGAGGCTGGGGTCATCCTGGGGTCTTGTGGTTCCTCTCCCCTGGGGACTGAGGTTGAGGAAGCAAGAAGTACCCTCATCACCCATCCCTGCCCCCCCAAAAATCAAAGCCCTACCACAGCAGAATGAGCCTGCCCTGCCCAACCCGAAGTCCCCTCCACACCTGGAAGCCACTGCTACATGCCCCCAGCCCTGGCTCCATGACTTGGACCGCCCAATGCCCGCCCAGTCCCCATTATCCCTCTAATGACCGGGTTACACAGGAAGATTATGTTCCAAGTGGCTGCCAGCGATCAATGCTGTAGGACAAAGCACTAGTGGGGGAGGTAGGGGCGAGGGGAGAGGAGGAATGGGGCCTCCTCACCCTCCTCTTCCTCTTCTCGCCATCACATCACTTGGGGGCAGAGCTGTCAGAAGATGGCGGGGGAGTAAAATGCACTCCCTTCCCACCTGAGTTCATCATGAAAGTATTTTGTCATTGCTCTTTCCCCAAAGCTGCTCTTTGGCCTGGGCTGACCAGCCAGGCCAGCACATCAGGCTCCACTAAGAGCACCCTTCCAGAAGCCTGTGGCCCGGGCCCCCATCTGCGTGACCCCCCACTCCAGGGCCGAGGTCACTCTGCCTCTGCCACACCAGCCTCCTTTCTGTCTCTCGAATTTGTCAGGCTTGTTTCCAACACAGGACTTCTGTCCTGGGTGTTCTTGCTACCTGGGCTACCTCCCACAGTGCTCCTGGTCACCCCCTGCTCCCCGAATTGTGCCAGACCCCTGTGACTTCCACGGGTTCTGCAGTAAAATTGACCAGAAGCTAGTTGCCCCCAGCAAAGGAACCTGAGACTTCATCCGACCAAATGGGCACCAGTTATAGTCTGACTTTCTTGGCCCTCAGACACCAAAGGCTTACTCCAATTTGGAGCTCTAGAGACCATGGTGGAAGTCCTGGCTTCGCCACTTGCTGCCTCGGGACTCTGGGCAAGCCACCTTGCAGTTCTGAGCATTTTCCCAGTCCTGGGCCTCATCATCCATCGTCATCATCATTAACGTCAGAGGCACTGAACGGGGTGGCACTGTTCTCCAACAGGAAGGGGTCCTGCTTCCTGTCCTTCCTCCTGGTCTGCAAAAAGCCCGGGTGTCTGACCCCCAACCCCCTATCCTTGGTGCCAACTCATCTATCCAGCCACCAATCTGGGTCCCACGGGAGCCGTTCAGGAAGGGCAGGCTTGTACCCAGTGCCTAGCAGGGCCTCAACCTACCTTTAGGTCAGTCGCTGCCTTTGATGAGCGGAATAATGTTGGACAAGGAGCCCAGCAAAGGCAGAAAGAAGCAAGACCTCCCAAGTCACTCAGCACTTCAGTGGCCCAGTGTCGACTCAGACCTGGTCTCACTGGCCCCACATAGTTTATTACTGCCCTGAAAGGGGCGACGGGAGGGGGGGGGGCATCAAAGGGTCTTATTGCTGCACTTCCCTAGCGAGCTGTTGAACTCCTTTGCATCCTTCGATGCCTACCTCCTTCAGGTGCCCCCGTCTTAGCCCCGAGTGTCCTGGCATTTGCTAAGCGATTCCCACTTCTTGTAAGCAACGGCACACACGCACGCACGCACACGCCTCCTTCAGCGTTCCTCAGGCGCCATTCCCTGCTCTGAGTCCTCCCATTCTGTCGGCGACTCAGCTTTGGGACCCCCAGAACCACCATCCGCTGCAATGCACCTTTGTTGTCCCCAGGGGGCGCCCGCGCCCCGGGTGTTGGCGCAAACCAACCTGCTGCTGCCCGCCAGGCTTTTCACTGACTGAAGTGCGGGATGGGGAAACAGAAGGTCCCAAGCTCAGAGCTACCACTGGCAGGGTTCACGGACAAAAAGTCTTGGTGAGCCTCGCCTGAAACATTGAGTCTGTTCTTGATCTCCCTTCACCTTCCTGATCTCTGAGCGTCTCCACCTGTCGGTCCCCAGCACAGAGGAGGCGACTGCCCTGGAGCGGGAGCTGCTGGAGGACTATCGTTTTGGGCGGCAGCAGCTGGCAGAGTTGTGTGGCCATGCCAGTGCCGTGGCTGTGACCAAGGTACTCTGACCCTGACCCAACCAAATCACCAGCCACGACTTCTGTGTCCGCCCCAGAGGCCTCTCTGCTTGGAGCAAACCAGCCCTGCCCTCAGATGGAGAAAGGACGAGGCCCAGAAAGGCTTCCTGCTGGGCCCAGGGGATCACTCTGGGTCAGCATCGAGGTGGGAACCCCTAGAGGCACAGAGGCTGCACTACAGTGTCTAGACCCTAGGTACAACAGCTCCCTCCTTCAGATATCGGTGCTGGCTGCTGCTATCCAAGGACCCCCAAATAACCTCATACTGGGGCGGGGGGCTTCCCAGGGCCAGTGATACTAGAGCAGCAGCTATAATGATGTCACCGGGCAGCACTTCACCAGGTGGCTAACTTCCTGAGCCTCCAAAGAGGCGCCATGAACCACAGTTGGTAAATGCCAGAGCCTTGGGAAGACGCAGGCAGGCAGGCAGGAAACCCAGCGTATCCGACCTCAGCTGGCACTCCGGCGGGACCACCATTCAGATGTCCCATCGAAAACTCAGCAGCCCCTGGTAAGGGCAGAGCAGGGGCTGGGGGCCTGGCCAGGGTGGCACAGACCTTGAAGAAGAGTGAGCCACCCTTGATGTTGTGGAGGTTAGAATACAGCAGGGCCCCCCCAGACCACCCTCGTCTGTTCACCCCTTGTGCCTACCAGGTCACCAACACACCCACTGGAAAGAAAGAACCCCGAGGAGAGAAGGGTGGGCACAGCCTGGCAGTGTCAGAGCAGAGCTGGGCACTGGCAGCACCCACTCTTCACGTCAAAGCTAGAGAGATGGGCACACAGACAGACAGGCAGGCAGACGCACTAGAAAGCACCCCTTTCCCCCACCCCCAACCGGGGCCTCCAGGCAGGCTGAGGCCTGGAACCACAGTGGCGGAAATCTCTGTGGTGGGAAAAGGTGGGAAAATGTCTGCCAGTCAGGTGGAGAAGAAACAACCCCGCCCAGGTCGGGGTTCTGCGGCGCCCCTGCCTCTGCAGAAACTCGGGTCTCCAAAGGGCCATCTCCTTTCCTTCTCTGTTTTTAAAAACACATCCCATTGTGAATCCAGTGGGGATTGTCATAGCCCATCGTCATGTGTGCATGCAACTTACAAAACCCATCCAGCCTCTCTCGGTGGCTTCCCTATTCCCCAACCCACTCTCCTCATTTCTCTCCCGTAGGACAGTTTCCCTGCACCCAGGGCAGCACCCTCCCACCCCAGGACCATCTCCTTTCCCACAATGCCTCCTTCCTGTCCTATCCCTGCACCTCCAGGTCCAATCACCCTGTCTGTCCCTGCACCTGGCCTCAGTGTCCCGGCAGAGCAAGGCCTGCCGTGTCTGAGCGCCTGCCTTTGCCACTGCCCGGCCACTCCGCAGGTCTTCCCTTTGGCAGCTCTCTCCCGGAAGCAGCGGACGGTGCTGGTTGTATGCGGCCCAGAACAGAATGGGGCGGTGGGGCTGGTCTGCGCCCGCCACCTGCGAGTGTTTGTGAGTCACCCCCACCTGCAGAGATTGCTTCCCCTTGTCGCTAGGGTCCAACATGGGGGCCTCCAGGCTTAGACACATTCCAGAACCTGCCCGCCCTTTGCCCCGGGCGAGAAGTCAGCATGCTGCTAGGTCTGGGGTCTCAGAGGACCCTGGCACTGACGCCCGCCCTCTTGCTCACCCAGGAGTATGAGCCTACCATCTTCTACCCCGTGCGCTCGCTGGACCCCCTGCACCGGGACCTGACCACTCAGTGCGAGAAGATGGACATTCCCTTCCTGTCCTACCTGCCCGCTGAGGTCAGACCTGGGTGGGCAAGGGAGGGCGGAGGCGGAGACTGCACCTGGGACACACACACACACACACACACACACACACACCCTCCCCGACCCTGCCTACCCTCCCAGGTCCGGCTCATCAATGATGCATACCGGCTGGTGGTGGATGCCGTGCTGGGCCCTGGCGCAGGGCCAGGAGAAGTCGGGGGTCCCTGCTCTCGAGCGCTGGCCACACTGAAGCTGCTGTCCATCCCCCTCGTGAGCTTGGACATCCCTTCAGGCACGCCGGCTCAGGCCTGGGCACCTTGGGCCTGGCACCTGGGGGGTGGGTTCCTGCACCTTGTCTCTTGGTGACCCCCAACTGGTCTTCCTGCTCTGTGCCTCAGTTTCCCCAGCAGGGATGGAGTGTGTACTTGCTGAAGTCATGCCCATCCCGTGGATAGGAAACACCAAGTCCTCCACCCCAGTGACCGGAGCTACCGCCAACTCCCCCCCCCCACCAACACCTCCGGCCCTACATACCCGATGCCCACCCCAGCCCAGTTGCCCGGGCAGACATGAGCTCACTCAGCAAACGCCGCGCCCGCTCTGGCCGCCACCCCACGCCTGCTGGAGCCATTAGGCAGACGGAACAAACAGCCTCTGGCCAGCCGGACCCTCTGCGGGGGTGGCCCTCTCAGGGATGGCCCCTAGGCTCAAGGGGCCTCAGGTGCCCTCACAGCAGGCGTCCGCAGAGCAGAGGGCTACTGGGGAGGTGGGGGCCCACATTACACGGGTGAAGGTAAAGGTCAAGGGAGGAAAGGACTAGTCAGAGGGAGAAACCAGGGCTGCTAGTTAGTGGCCCAGACTCAGACCAGGGCGGGTGAGAAGGCAGGGCCCAGATTGATGGGGGAGGTTAGCCTGGCAGAGGCTCCTGAGGGGGAGGGGGAGGGGTCTCAGGTCAGGCAAGGTCTCTGGTCAGAGGGCGGAGTCTGAGGGCGGGGAGGATGGGTGCTTGAGTCACATGAGGTGGGGGGAGTGGTGTCCTGTCAAGAACTTGGGGGTAGGGAGGCAGCTCTGACACGGGAGACTGAGCTGAGGATGGAAGTGGGTCTGATCAGAGGGGGGAGGCTGGGGTCTGGCTAAGGATTTCAGGGTTGATGGAGTGGGAGGGAGCAACAGGTGTCTGGGGACAGAAGCCAGGTCAGTCTGGACACAGGGGTCCTGGGGAGCGCAGAGGTAAACATGATGTGTCTGGGGCCAGGGGCAGGGTCAAATGAGGAAGGGAGGGGAGGGGAGAAGCTGGTCGGAGGGCTGAGCCCCATTCCTTGGGGCGCAGGTCTGACCAAGGCTGACGGGTGGGGCGCTGGTGGAAGGGCAGCGGCTCCGGCTCCGGTTGCGGGTGGGGAGGCCCGTCTGGCAGGGCGGGCGCGCAGGGAGGCCGGCCTCTAGTCTGACGACGCCAACGCGGCCAGTACTCGCTCTCCTCCCTCAGGCTGGGATGCGGAGACCGGCAGCGACGCTGAGGACAGGCTGCAGCCCGACGTGCTGGTGTCGCTTGTGGCGCCCAAGCGCTGCGCCGGGCGCTTTGCCGGCCGCCACCACTTTGTGGCGGGCAGGTTCGTGCCCGACGACGTGCGCCGCAAGTTCGCTCTGCGCCTGCCTGGGTACACGGGCACCGACTGCGTCGTGGCCCTGTGACCACGCTCGCCCCGCGGCTTGACCCTCCATGAATAAACAGCCCCCACCCCACCCTGGCTCTTCTCCTCCTTGCGCCCGGGGCGTGCGCCGCGGAGTGGGCAAACCCGGGAGGGGCTCCCCGCGGGCCCCAGAAGGAAAGATTGGAGAGCAACTTACCCTTAGGGCGGGGCTTCCAGCCGCCGCCAATCCAGCCCCACCTTTGGCTACCCCTCCCTGTGACCCTAGGTGGGGTCGAGCCCCCCTAGGAGCTAAAACTTCCCATTGGCCTCCTAGATAATGCCGCCAGAAGCTGGAGGGTGGGCTCTGATGGAACTTCTTCCCAGGTGCGGGGAACAAATAACCAACGAGCCAACTCTACGCCATCGAGTCGGTGGCCGCTCCCGGTGTCCTTACAGGACAGGGTAGGACTGCCCTCGCGGGCTTCCGAGACGGTAACTCTTTACCGGAGTAGAAAGCCTCGCCTCTCTCCTGCGCTGCAGCCGGTGGTTTTCGAACCACCAACCTTGTGGCTAGCCGCCCAGCGTGTAACCACGACACCCCAGGGCGCCTCGAGGTGGCCTCACACGACGGACTCAGAATTAGATTCGGCGAG